TCCGTCCACGCGCGGCCCCCAAGAATTCCAGAACCGCTCCCCGGGGCAGGCTCTCCTCTCATCCCGAGTCGTTTTTGTCCACCGTCCCGGGGCCCGTCGAGGGCCCCCAGCATGCCGAGCGTTGGCCCAAAACGGTGCGTCGCCACGTCTGCCTACGACGCGAGCACGTCCAGGGGCCTGGCATCGCTCGGACGTGTGTGTTTTTTTTCTCGGCGAGGACAGTCGAGGAGCATCCTTGATCACTTGGCGAAAACACCACGCACGAAACCGACAAAAACACAGGGAATGGACGTCCGAGCGATGGCCAGGGGGAGGAGGCGGTCCGGTCGCCGCTCCCGAGCGGGGGGGGGACGAGCAGCGAGCACGGCGAGGGCGGCGAGCAGGGGCCAGTACGCAAGCAGGATGCAACCCCTGGCCTTGTGGAGGACGGTCAGTGGAGAGGAAGCATGTTGCCAAACGACTCCCAGATGTCTAAATAGGTGTCAAAACTGTTGTTTTTAATTGAGAAAACATGGTTTAAACAGATTCGGGGCATTGCGGCGACATTTACAACGCATTGTTAATTCGATGATAGGACGGTTAGGGTGTCCATTGTCGTGGCATCCACAACCCTAGCCTCAAGTCGGGCATGTCCCTCTACCGGAGGAATGCTCAACCATAGTACAGACATAGTCTATACATAGTCTGTTGACGACGTCGTGCTCCTTAGGCTATGGTCAATTCGTTGTTGCACAGTGTTGAGTTGTGTTCCAGAGTCCGACTGCAGGAGGAGATGGCCGACCTAACCCTAGCCCTACTACCACAATTCTTTCATGGCCTAACTGAGGTCCTCAGTTTTTAGGCCACCCCTTAACGTGTGAGTAGCTTCGTCTGAGACGCCTGCTAAAAAGACCCCCTTGCCCTAATGACTTGGGCTCTCCTAGCTTAGATCCCCTCCCAATGGATTAGGCGTGAGGAGGGGCGCAGAGGTGGCGTGAGGAGGGGGGCAGGGGTGGACTCGGCAAGTGGCTACTGCGGTGGCGGCGGCTCGGGAGGAGGAGCGTCGGGTAGCGCGCGGTTGGAGGATGGGCTGGCATCCCCTGGAATCCAGCTCGGTGAGGGCGGCGGCGGAGGTGTGGCGGCGGGCGGATGGTTGACGGTGGATTCGGGTGATTGCACAGGCTGAACTCTCGATTCGTTGACTTAGTTGTTACTTTGGACTTGGGGGAGAATTGCATTCGGGGTATTTTCATGGCTCCTTTCGGACGGGGCTAGGACGGGGATAACTCCGTTCCAGAGCGGTACAGAACGCTCTCGGAGCGGTTTGGAACGCTCTGAGAGGGCCGCGGCGCACGAGACGTCCTCCAGAGCTGCGGGATCTCAGAGATTCCCGATTTATCCTCACACGGTTTTACCCTCGCCCTGGCTCCGTCTGGCTGGGGGGAGGGTGCGATTCGGGGTTGCTCTATGGCACCTCCAGGAGGGCGAGGAGGGGGGGGGGGGGCAGCCTCGCGGGGGGCTGGAAGGCCGCTCGCCGCCCGGGCGCCGACCCGCTCAGCAAGGACATGCACGGCGGGGGGGGCATCGAGGAGGATCGAGGAGGAGGAGGAGGAGAGGAGGAGGAGAGGAGGAGAGGAGGAGGAGGAGGGGGAGGGGAGGAGGAGGAGGAGAGGAGGAGGAGGAGGAGGAGAGAGAAGGATCAAGGTGCAGGATCAATTGTGGAGGATCGAAGAGGAGGAGGAGGAGGAGGAGGAGGAGGAGGTGGAGAGTCAAGGTCGAGGAGGATCGAGGAGGAGGAGGAGGAGGATCGATGAGGAGGAGGAGGAGTATCGCGGAGAACTGAGGAGGATCGAGGAGGAGGAGGAGGAGGATAATCAGGGGCAGGGGGGATCGAGGACGATCGAGGAGGAGGATGAGGAAGGAGAAAAGGAGGAAGATGAGGATCGAGGAGGACGAGCAGGAGGATTGAAGCTGACAATGAGGAGGAGGAGGATCGATGAGGATCGAGGAGGAGGAGGAGGAGGAAGATCGAGGACGATGGAGAAGGCACTGAATTGAGGAGGGGGAGGAGGATGATAGATGTGAGAAGGAGGAGAGTCGAGGCGGAGTCGATCAGGGGCAACGGGGGGATGGGCTCCAGGGGGGATGCACCGACCCCCTGTGGACAGTGGATCGCGAAAGCGGCTCCGTCGCCCGCCCGCACGGAAACCTGCGGCCTCGCTACGGGGACGTATCACCACTGATCCAGCGGCGTCGTATTGCCCCCTGGGCGACCCCCCCCCATCGTTCCGCCTCAGAAGGAGGAGGAGATGATCGAGCATCATGTGGAGCTGTTCGTCCTCCTCGTCGCGGGCCCTGAGGTTTGCTGTGCGTCTGCTCGCTGGCTGGGGACCCTGGGCGCCCTCGTCGCCACGGCCGGGTCCGCCTCGACGTGTTGGCCAGATCCCGCCCCTGGACACGTCTGGGGGGGGAGGGGGGGGGGCGGCGATCGGTGTGCTGGGGAAGGGCAGGGGGATCGAGGCGTCCCGAGGAGGGGGAGGAGGACCGAGGAGGACTCAGGAGTGGTTCGTCTCCTGGTCGTCTCGGGCCAGGACCCGGGAGCTGCTGCTCTGTTCTTGAGAGCCTCCCGGGGCGCCCTCGTCGCCGCGGCTGGGCCCGCTTCGACGTTCTGGCCAGAACGCTTCCGTGGACCTGTCTGGGGGACATGCTGGGCGGGGCTGGGGGGTCGCAGAGGGCCGAGGCGGATCGAGGACCACAACGAGGAGGGACCCGGCGAATCGAGGGTGACTCTGCGATCCGGCGTGCCCCTCGCCGGATTTGGGATTTTGATGTGTCTCCCACCGGGCAGGTCGGGGCTGCCAGGTTCAACGACAAGGGCTCTGGGCCCGCCTCGAGCACCATGCCTACCGTTCAGCGGGCCCGTCCCTCTACAGGAGGGATATTATGAAATAGTCCAAAAATAGTCTGGGGATTTTTGTGTGTGTGTGTGCGTGTGTGTTTTTGAATATTTGGGGATATTTTTCGAGTTTGTTGTATGTTGCATTGGATATCCCCCTGTAGGAGGACACACGCCCGACTTAAGCCTGTCGCGGCCGCCCTCCCCAAGGAATCCTGGCGGGCCCGCAGGGATCCCGCCTCGCGCGTTGGACGGGTGGCGATCGGCGTGCCGCGGCCGCCTGGCCACAGGAGTCCTTTGTCAGGAGGGGAAAAACCACACAGACAATTAATCGTCCATTCCCCAGGAAAATATGGGAAAATATGGGAAGTGGGGGGAAGGCAACAACCCAGAACATATTGGGGAAATGTGGGGAATCCTGTTATAGGAGTGTATTTATTTGTGTGTCCATTGGGCCCCTTCATCTGGACCCGCCTCGAGCACCATGCCTACCGCGGCCGCCCTCCCCCAGGGATCCCCGGCGGGCCCCCCGGGCATCCCGCCTCGCGCGCTGGACGAGTGGCGATCTCGGCGTGCCGCGGCCGCCCGGCCACAGGAGCCCTTTGGGAGTCTTGCCTCGCGTCATCGACGAATGACGTCACTCGGAGGAGAAAATGCAGTCAAGACGCTGGAAGAAGGAACAGTTCAGGTTCGGAAGGGGCTCGATGTTCCTTAGGTTCCTCCAGTGCTGTTCCTCTTGCCCTCCTGGGGCACGGAGGCGCTTACAGAGCCAAGAAGGGGCTTCGTTCCTTATTCGGCATTCCTTCTTTCAGCGGCCCGACTGTAACCATAAACTGTTGGCGCTCCGCGCGGACTTCTTGGATCCGCGCTGGGCCGCCCTGGCGGCGCCTCCGGCGCCGCCCCTGGCGCGCTCCGCGCGCCAGGGAGGGGGGTGTCCAGCGCAGCTCCAGGAATTCCGCAGGGAGCGCCCACAGTTCGTGTTCGAGGCACTTCTTTCCTTCGCCTTATTCTAGGCAGAGCGAGCGCACATGCATCTCACACGCAACGAAGACCGCTTGACATGAGGCATGCGCAGATACAGGCGGGAGCACGCACCAACCGCGCCAAAATACCCGGCATGGCGCCAACCGGGCCCGTCACATACACGGAACGGACATTCAGAATGTGCATACACAGATTGGCGGAGCATCGTAACAGAACGTGCATACAAATGGTTCACACATAACGCAGGGAAGCGTCACGCCGTCCAGGCGTCTCGACGTCACGCACACGCCGTCCACACACATCTAGAACAGACGTCAAGAGCGCACATCAAGGACAGGCACCACGAGCTTACACCGACAGCATGGTTGAGAGCAAACAGCAGACAGGAACAGACACCGCACCGAGAACAAGCATCGAGAACAGGTCAAGAGCAGGCACCACTCACGTATACCAGAAGCAGGTACCAAGGTTCATACACCAAGCACAGTCACCAAGAACATGCATCGATACCATATACCAATAGCAGCCTCCAAGCACCGACACACATATCAGATCCCTGACATTAGCATCAATAGCGTTGATCTGGAATATGTTTCGCACGCGCTTTTCGATACCATAAACGGGTGACTGTCACCCGTGTATGGTACTGGATTCTGTCACTGACATAATCCAGTACCGTACACCAGGTCCACACACCACGAACGCACACTCACATATAACCAGACTATCCGCCAATATCGGACATCAGCAACATACATCCCGATCTGTTGAACATGTTTGGTGGGCATCGCTGTAAGCTGCATAGTCTCTCTATTGGTGGACCTCCTGTTGCGCCTTCGTCGCCGCGGCCGGATCAACGTCGACGTTCTGGTCAGGCAGCACCCCTTGCCAGGCATGGGGGGATAATGGTGAGATAAACGGAGGATGGGGGAGGAGGGAAGGATGCCGGAAGAGAAGGATCGAAGAGGCGGGTTACGGGGACAGGAGGGAGGAAGAAGAAAGTGAGAAGGATGAGGAGGAAGGAGGAGGAGGGGAGGGAGAGAAAGAGGAGGAAGGATGACGAGTACGAGGAATAGGAGGGCGAGGACGACGATAACCAAAAACGAAGACATCGAGCATGCGAGAGTTCTGAGGGGCTGGGTAGGGAGGAGGGTGGATGAGGAGGAGAAGGAAAGGATGCGCCCGCAGGCGGGTTGAAGCAAACAGATCGAGGGGAAGAGGAGGTCGGAGGCGAAGGGGAGGATGAGAGGGTGGTGAGGAGAGGGCGGGCCAGTCGAATCAAGTATGGGTGCAGTGATGTTTGGTGTCTCTGACGATTACCGGTCCTTCCGCCATCTTGGCGTTCATCCTCGTAGCGCTTGCAAGCCAAATAGTTGGGGCCATGTGTAGGTCGAGGACGTCAAGATCATGTTCGACTCTTAGAAGTAGTAAGCCTATCGATTCCGTCGGCTTGATGTTCGGCGTCATCGGATGACGAGTGCCACGTGGCGCTTGTTCCCCCTCTTGTGACCGTCTTCCTCCCTTTGCCTCCCCTCTCAGCACCCTCTGCCTTCGTCCCGTGTTATCGTCCTGGACCCGATTCCCTCTTTTCTTTCTCTTGGAAGGAGGCGTGGATGCAGTCGCGCGGACAGATGATCTCGGACTGCAAGGTGCCTCGCCTGTGACCCGCTCCCTCCACCGCGTCCAGGTTTCGGGCAGGGGAGTGCAGGGGTGGGAGCGAGGGAGGGGGACTGAAGATGAGGAGGAGGAGGAGGCGGAGGAGGAGGCGGAGGAGGAGGAGGAGGCGGAGGCGGAGGAGGAGGCGGAGGAGGAGGAGGTGGGGGAGAGCGCCAAGGCGTCCTGGCGTCGCGAACTGATCCCAACAGGAGGTTGTCGTCCATCTTTTGATCTGTGGAGCTCTTCACTGGTCCCAAGGGCAGGCCAAGCGCGCTTCGATCGGGGCCGGAGCGGGGGAAGGGGAGAGAGGGAGTGCGGCAACGGGATGGCGAGCGATGGCGAAGGGCGAGAGGAGGGGGAGGGGGCAGGGAAAAGGGCCAGGGAGGGACGGGGAGGAACCGGCAGCGGGGGGGGGCGGGAGGGACGGGAGGGACACTGCAGGGGCGACGGGGGAGGAGTCGTGACAGGGGAGGCCAGGAGGGTCGCAGGGAGCGAGGGCGTGCGGAGCAGGTTCTGGGGCCGTGCGGAGGAGAGGATGGCTCTGTGGCGCGGGGCGTCCGTGCCGCGTCCTCGCGGCGAGAACTGTGTGATCCGATGCAGCTCGAGGCCACCGCAGGAGGGCATGCCAGTGCCCCATACATGGATACATACATATATATATATATATATATATATATATATGTATATATATATATATATATGTGGACATCGGCATACTTAGTCATACAAACATTGGTGTGGACGTGCGTATGCATGTATGCGCGCATCTACTGCAAGTATACGCACACATACATGTATATACATATCTATAGACACCACATTGTAGATGCCCATGTGTATCTTCGCGGCTGCCTCATGCTTCTGGCCACGCTGCTCAGCTTTCGCTTGCCCCCTCAGGCTCTGGGACTTGCGGAAGGCAAGGCGTCGGTGGCGAGACCAGGGGGGGGGAAGGAGAGGGGGCACTGCTCAGAAGCCCTGGCGCCTTCTGGGAAGCCGCCCGAGAAGGCGTGCAGGTCTGCTCAGAAGGCCCGAGGGGCCTCCGAAGCGCCCCGCCGCCTTCTGCGCAGGCCCGCCCACTCTCGCGGCCCCCTCCTGGGCCCTCCGCCGAGCATGGCGGCAGGAGGTGTGATCTTAGGTCGGGCATGTTCTCTCACAGGCGGACCTAGGAAGGAAGACATGGGAAAGAGCCAAACATGTTCAAACGCGATGAAACGAAACGATGTGAAACACACATCCTCCCCCTGCGATGTGTTTCAGTTTGATGTTTGAGCACTCCTCCTGTAGCTGGGCAGCTCGACTTCTGTGCGGTCCTGCCAGACCCGCGGGGCGCGCCGCCCGAGGCGGGCGGGGCGCCCCGCCGCCGCCGCCGGGCGCGGGAGCGCGAGAAGGGCGCGCAGCCGGAGCGAGCCAGGAGCTGAGGTCGGGCAGGCCCCCTCTACGAGGGGGAAGGGGTCAAGCCTGGGCGCCACGCATGGCTCGGTGACGATGTGCTGATCCTTTCTGACTGTTTTGTTTTTTTTGTTCTGGGTACTTGTTTTTCCGCCGAAGTCCGCCTGTCGGAGGGCATGCCCGACCTGACCAGAAGCTCGAGGTCGGGGCTGCCGAAAAGGGACCCTTGAGGGCACCTAAGGGGCCCTTTCGGGCCAAGGAGGGGGCCTTTCGGGCCCAAGAGGGGCACCGTATCTCTCCCCCCCCATTCATCGCCCCTCCATCACTTCGCGCCCGAGAGTCCTCTATTCCCATTCGTGCCGCAACGAGTTTACGTTGGTTTCCGGAGCACGCGTTGCGCGAGCGTTCGTGCCACGCGGCCGGTCTCGGGGACTGGGGGGGGCGTTATTCACGCACGTGGCTGGGCGCGTACGTCCTTTCTGTGGCCTCCTTGCAGGTGCTGGACAAGGGGAGGGGCCTGAAGCAAGACCTGCAGCCGCTGCACACGCAGGAGCCCCTCGGCCAGCCCGACCCGCCGGCTGCCGGGCGCCGCTGGCAGCGCCCGTAACGGGCACGGTGCCGAGCAGCACGTGCTGTCCAGCACCGACGGCGGCCGCTGCTGGCCAGGCGAGCCTGTGTCTCAGATGGGCCACGCCCGCGGCGATACAGACAGCGAATCTTGCACAACCAAAAAGATCACAGACACTAATACTAGTCGGTTCTCTGGGCAATATGGGAAGGTATGGGAAGTGGGGGGGGAGACGAACCCAGAACACGTGGAAGCATCTGGGGGAGTCCTGTCCAGTTGTGTGTGTATGTGTGTTTGTGCTGCTGGGCCCCTTCACCTGGCAGGAACTGCTCCTTGTCTTCGTCCCGAGCTTGCCCGCACCCGTTCCGAGCAGCCCCAGCAGGAGCTGCACCACTGCACCTCGGAGCGCACGAGCGCGGGCGAGGGGGGGCGGCGCGGAGCTCCGCGGAGGGAAGGGGGACGAGGAGGGGGGAGGGAGGAGGGAGGAGGAGGAGGAGGAGGAGGAGGAGGAGGAGGAGGAGGAGGAGGAGAGAGGACGAGGAGGAGGAGGAGGAGGAGGAGGAGGAGGAGGAAGAGGAGAAGGAGGAGGCGCGCGTCGGGGCAGCTCGGCCGGCCCTGCGCTCCACTCGCTCCAGGCCCGAGGGCTGACGAGCACACGGACTCGCCCGGGTCCCGCGCGCACCTCCCGGATCTTGTGCGGGGGTTCCCCTGCTCGGAGGACGCGTGACGGGGGGGGCGACGAATGCGGGGGCAGCGAGGGCTTCAGGGCCCCTCTTGGACCCAAGAGGGGACCGTTGGGGCCCGAAAGGGTTGCCTTTCGCCGCCCCCATTCCTCGCCCCCTCGTTCATCTGCGCCCGACCCCTGGGATGCAGAGAGGACCCCAGGTGAGGGGATCGTGTCGTGATTGCCCCGAGGACAACAACTCTTGCACACAGGCGAAAAACATGTATCCGTATCCGCGGCCTCGCGGGCCAGCTCTCGGGCCGCGACCCCGCAGATGCGGAGCGTTTTTCCGCGGGTGCCCCGCGCGGAAGGTGTCCGTGCGACCGCGTACCCGCGAGAATGCCCCCAGAGTCCAGACCGTACGGATGTGGATTCGGATATGTTTGCCGCTCGTGAGAGGAGTTGCGCTGTGTACAGAGTTGCATGTGTCGTCCGACATTGCCCGACGTGTTGCGTGCCGTTAATTATTTGACATTCGCACGGGCGCCATCGACAAGAGCCCATGGCCCCGAGTTTCGCAGAGATGGCCTGCCCTTCGGGTCTTTCTTTCCCGCATTCCTCCCTTTCAGCATCCTCTTTCTCGTCCCCCCCATCCTCCCACCTTCTCCCACCTCCTCCATATCCTCCTCCTCCTCCGCATCCTCCGCCCCCCCCCCCCATCCTCCACCGCCCGCATCCCCCTTCTCGACACCCTCTTCCTACGCCTCCTCTTGCTCCTCCTCCTCCTCCTCCTCCTCCTCCTCCTCCTCACCCCTCCAGCATCCTCCCTCACCGTCCGTCAGCAGCCGCCCCAGCGTCACGGCCCGTCACGCCTCGGATGGGCGCGTCATCACCATCACCATCATCATCATCATCATCATCATCATCATCATCATCATCATCATCATCATCATCATCATCATCATCATCATCATCGTCATCAGCATCAGCATCAGCATCAGCATCATCATCATCACCATCACCACCTCCACCATCCTCACCCTCCTCCTTCTCCTCCTCCTCCTCCTCCTCCTCGCCATCATGATCATCATCCTCATCGTCATCATCGTCATGAGAAGCAGCATCGGCGTTGTCGTCGTTGTCACCATCATCATCATCGTCATCACCACCACGGTCTTCATCGTGATCGTCATCGTCCTCATCGCTCTTATCGTCGTCGTCGTCATCGTCATCGTCGCCAGTACCACCACCATCCGCGCCGCCGCCGTCATGTTCGTCATCATCGTCATGTGGGTTCTCGTCCCCGGCAGCGGCACCAGCGCCAGCAGCGACACCCCCCGGGCGGGGCGCCGAGGAGGACCTGCAGGCCTCCGGCGAGCGCGTCGTCAGGGCCAAGCTGACCCCGCGCCGCGCCCTGGGCGCGCCGCTCCCCCCTCCTCCGGCGGGTCATACTCGGGGACCCCCGAACGGGGTGGTGACCACACCGTGTGTTGAGTCGGCGGGGATTCGCGGTCGCCGCACGGTTTTTGGGGCGCGAGGCCCTCTCCGAGGACGCCGCGGGCGACGGGGGCCTCTGGGGTCCCAAGGCCGTGCGGTGACAGGCCGTGCGGTGAGGTCTTGGGGGATTTCGAGGTCCTCGCGTGGTCTGCCACCACACCGTGTCGGGACTCCAAGTATACGCCGAAGCGCGAGGGCGAAACCAGAAAATTAAACATACACTGGACGCCAAGGCACCGGGCATCGCATGCACCCGATGTCAGGAATGCTACAGAGTGCCACTGGCTATCGCGCTCGAGCGGGGAGGAGAGTGGGGCGCACAAGCGCGAGCTGGAGCTGCGCGCGTAGTTTAAGAAAGCTTCTGTTCGTAGATGTTGTCTCTCTCCAAGAGCGTTCTGGTCCGGCGCTCGCTGGAGCGGCCACGACGCCCGACACGTCCTGCGGAGCCGCCGGATCACAGAGATTCCCGTTCATCTGTGTCCGACTGGAGGCCCTACGGCCAGTGCCGCCGACCCTGCAGATGACGACGACGACGACGACGAGGACGACGAGGAGGAGGGGGGGGGAGTGGGGGCGAAATGAGCAGTAGGAGGACGAGGAGAGATTCCCGTCCGTTCATCCCCGTCCGACAGGCGGACAGAAGGGCCGCGGGCTCCCCGATGGCAGCCTGCTCGACGGCGCTAAACAAGTACAGCAATATAGCATCATGAACAACAATGACACAGTATACAAACACAGTTATTTGAAGCTCGGCAGCATGTGCAGGCCCGTCGCCGCAAAGCCTGTCGTAACCTTTGGAGTCAGCAACAGCCCGTGACATGGTCGTGAAGCTGTGGTGTGCTGATGGTTCACTGCGCTCAA